GACCGTAGATCAAGCTTAGTAAAGAAAGTTGCTCCGTATAGCTCATCTAGCATATCATCAACGATAGGAATGGGAAACCTATCTTTAATGGTTTCAGCATTAAGAGCCCAGTAATCTGTAGAAAAATGCCAAGTTCCATCTTTCTTTTTGACTAGCAAGATAGGAGAAGAGAAAGGACTTGTGCTAGACCTTATTAGCCCCAATCTTAACATATCCTGAACTTGTTTTTCTATTTCAGCATTTTGAAAGTAGGCATACCTGTATGGACGAACATTAATTGGCTCGGTTCCTTCTTTGAGGTTGATGCGGTGATCGATCTCCCTCCTTGGCGGCAGCTGCGTTGGTTCCTGATAGATGTCATCGAACTCGGCTAACAATTGCTGCATGTCCGGATGAAGTCTGTGAGGCACTTCCTCCGTGGCTGCTTGGAGACAAACGACAAATATGGAATTCCCTTGCTTCATTTCTTTGGAAATTGCTTTGAATGCTGCAGGTTGAATCGGTTGGTTGTCGATTCCTTTTAACTGCCGGTGCTGGTTCTTCCAAGAAAACTCCATTGTCATTTTTTTCCAATCACAAGCCATCGTGCCCAATTGCTCAAGCCAATGAATTCCTAGCACCATATCCAACCCAATCAGCGGTAAAGAATAAAGTGTTAAGGTAAATGGTATATCTCCCTTGGCACTTAAGGGGATCACCATTGGCCACCTTCACATTAAAGGGTTCGGTTGGCACCACCGGTAATTGCAACAATTCAGCTATCCTGTCATTGATGAAATTATGGGTTGACCCACTGTCAATAAGAACGATCAGTTCGTGGGATCCCACCTTAGCCGAGACTCGCATGGTTCTAGCTGTTGGCCACCCTGTGAGAGCGTGGAGTGATATTTCAGGTTCTCCGCGCTGGTTGGTGTGGTTTCCTTCTTCGTCATCTTGTTCATCTTCGTCACAATCCCCTGCGAGTAGTAGCAGCTGTGGTCTCTTGCATTTGTGCCCCAGTCCAAATTTTTCGTCGCAGTTAAAACAAAGACCTTGAACACGCCTCCTTTGCATCTCAGTCCAAGAGAGTCGCTTCAGTGGTGGAGCAAGATTTCATTTTCGTTGGGAAAAAGTTGCCCGCGGTCCTAGTGACTGGGCGCTAAGTCTTTTCATGGCGGTGCAACTATTCATCTTTCATCCTCGCCAGACTGATGGCTTCCTTCAAGGATTTCAGTTTAAACATCCGAATTCCATTTGCTATTTCAGTTTTGAGGCCTCCCATGAAGGTGCCCACTAATGCCTTCTGGGTCCATCTGTGCACTCTATGTCCCAATCTCTCAAACTCCTTATGGTACTCACGCAAAGACCCCGTCTGTCGTATTTTTGATAACGACTCGTCAAAGTCTTTGCAATCAGTTGGACCGAAGCGAGACCATAGTTCTTCGACTAAACATCCATACGTATTTATAGACTCTAACTCATAATAATCCTAGGAGTTAAACTGTTAGACTCATAATAGCCTTAGGCGTCAAACTGTTAGACGCAATAATCCTAATAGGACTCAAACTAAGTGGTCATATCCTATTTCAATCAAAGAAGACTCAATGACTCTAATCCTACTTATGCAATGACTTTGAAATTTTAATCATAAACAAACTATGACTAGACAAATTTAACCCTATCAATGGACCTCACAGAAAATTGCAAAATGACAAAAATATCCCTACTGTCCAAAAATACAGATACATAAAATTTCATAAAATTCCAATTTTGACTCTTCAACTCCTGCATCATTCATAGAACTTGTATATGTCAGGGTGGCTCATTGGGTCAAGTCTTTGAAGCTTTTTGAAGCCTATTCAGTAGGAGACATCATTAGAAACTAGGAAGAAGTGGCTCGGTCAGCTCTTATTTCTAGTGATATCAGACCTGTTTGGATTCCACCAGACTTGGGTTTCATCAAATTGAATTTTGATGGTAGTAGTTAAGGAAATCCAGGCCCTTCAGGCATAGGTGGTATTTTCAGGAACGAAGAAGGGCGAATTATTGCTATGTTCTCAGGACCTATTGGCTGGGGGGATTCTCTGAGAGCTGAAATCCTAGCAGTTGTAGAAGGAGTCAAATGGGCTAAGCAGCTGAATATTAGCAAGTTGCTGGTGGAAGGTGACTCCCAACTGACTGTTAGATGGTTGCAGATGGAAGAGTCCAGCATGTGGAAGTTCTCAAATGAAAGAAAGAAAACCAAGCAACTAACTCAGAACATGACTATAAGGTTTCAATGGGCTAAGAGGAGTACCAACTCCATGGCTGACTCCTTGGCTAAACAAGGGGTGGGAAGATCTAGCTTGTTTTGGGCTATTCTGTAATATGTTTTTTCGGGTTTGAAAGGGAGGGTTAAGACATTTTACCCCTCCTTTCTGGTTGTATCTTACATATCTCTTTTAATAAAAGTGCTGTTATTGATCAATATATTTTATTGCCTTTATGTAAAACGTCCATACATATTTCTTTTGATAAATAACTATGCATATTTATAGACTCGAAACTCATAATAATCCTAGGAGCCAAACCGTTAGACTCATAATAGTCTTAGGAGTCAAACTGTTAGAGTCAATAATCTTAGTAGGACTCAAACTAAGCTGTCATATTCTATTTCAATTCAAAGAAGACTCACTAAATCTAATCCTACTTATGCAATGATTGAAATTTTAAAAATAAACAAACTATAACTAGAAAAATTAAATCCTATTAATGGATCCCACAGAAAATTTCAACATGACAAAAATACCCGTACTGTCCAAAAATACAGGAATGCATAAAATTTCATAAAATTCCAATTTTGACTCTTCAGCTCCTGCATCTCCTTTGAAAGAAGTGTTGTGTTCCCCCATCCCCCCAAAAAGTTAGAGCTTTTTGTTGGGAAGTTTTCCACGGATGCATTAGTACTTATGACTTGTTGCAAAAGAAAAGAGCACATTGGGTCTTGTCCCCTAATCAATGTTTCTTGTGTAAGTTAATTGGTGAGACTGCTTAGCATCTTTTAATCTCTTGTCCTTTTGTTTGATGTATTTCGAAATGGTTTTCTTCTCTTTTTGGTTGTAGGTAGAACCCCCCTATCAGTTTGGATAATTTGTTTTCCTGTCTCTTTTGAGGAGCACGGAAAGAAGGGGCATAATTATGTGGAGGTGTACATGGGCGGTGATGGTCTGGAAACAAAAAATATTACCCCAAGTGGTGGTTGCATGAAGTTGAACTTTGATGGTTGTAGTATGGGCAATCTTGGACCTTCAAGAATTGGGAGGGGGTGGTAAGGGATTGTGGGTGGAATTGTGTGTGCTTTGTTTTTGGATCCAATTGAAGAAAGTAATTCAATAAGGGCAAACTTCTGGTGGCATTTTTTGGGATACAAAAAGCTAAAGAAATGGGAATTGTAAGGTTGATCATTGAAGGGGAGTCTAATATAGTAGTAGGGTAGAAATCAGATGCTTCAAGTGGCTCCCAAAAGATATGAATATTCAAATAAGATGGGTAAGAAGATCAATTTGTCTGGTGGATGGCCTAGCCAAACAAGGAGTTCACAAACAGCAAATGTATTGGGCACAATTGTAATAGGGTGGTGGGGTTCATGTGTAATGTAATGTTTTCTTTTCATGGGTATTCATAACCTCTTGTTGTAACATCTTTCTTTTTTATTCAATCAATGAATCTTCTTTGTGTTGCTGATCAAAGAAAAAAATTAAGGATCTTAATGAGCTACTCTATTTTCAGGGTATTGAGGCAGCATGATCCATCTGAAGGTATCTCCATTTCCCAATGCAAGTATGTCTTGGATTTACTCTAGGAGATTGGGAAAGTTGGGGTGGAACCTGTTGATACCCCTTTTGACCATAATCATTGGCTCACTGCCTATCCAGTATTGATGATTAGTTACTTCCTGACATGGGAGTATTTAAAAATTACTGGGAAAATTATTATGTTTATGCTTGACACAATTGACAATCCCAATGATATTAGTGTTATCAATCAGTTTATGTATGCTCCCAGGGATGTTTACCTAGCAGCTACAAAGAGGATGTTATTCTATTTGAAGGGTTGCCCTCGTTGAGGGATCCTGTTTACTAATTATGGGCACACGAGAGATTGAATCTTGTATAGATGCTGATTGCGTTGATATAGGAGGTCCACTTTTGGGTTTTGTATGCTTGGTGGGGGTACTCTAGTTTCTTAGAGGTGTAAGAAACAGTCGATGGTTGTTTATTCTTGTGCAGAAGCAGAATATAGAGTCATGGCTCATGGTGTGTCAATGATTCTATGGGTTAGATCTCTTCACAGTGAATTGGCAGTTGAGTATGATAAATCCATGATGCTGTATTGTGATAATGAGGCAGCTATTATTATTGCCCATGACTGAATCTAGCATGATATAATTGAACTTAAGAGAAAGAGTAGCCTTTGGAGAAGTTTGCATTTCCATTTATTGCTTCATAAGAACAGCTAGCAAACATATTCACAAAGGAGTCTCTAAATCCAGGTTGTAGCACTATATGAGCAAGCTGGGCATAATTAACATCTATGCTCATCTTCAGGGGGAGTGTTGAGAAGTTTAATTTTTCTTCTTACTGTGTTGACATGTCATATTTTTATTTCTGGTTCTTGTATTGAAGTTTTATAGACATTAGTATGTGGCTGGGTATTCCTGTAATTTTACATATCACGAAAATAATGAAGAATAGGGCTGCTTGTACTGCCCTAGACGGATTCTCTTCCAAATCATTCTCTCCTCTCTTGTTCTTCCTCTGTTCTCTTCCTCTTGTACTACAGATTCTCTTCAGTTTTCTTCTCTATTTTTTTTTTTTATTTTCCTTGAAAATCTAATCTTATCAGAGTTTCAAGTAATTTGAACTTATTGATGGACAAAGGCATACATTTTGCCATGTTTTTGATCCAGGGCTAATGTAAGACTTGATAGTTTCAATCTATATTTTCTCTTGTTTTAAGATATGCTGAATTTTTCTTTGCAGGGAAGTGTTCCAAGATGGCTCACAACCTTTGCAGTTGGGATCACAGAACCTAAATACGAACACAGATGCTCCAAGCAGAAAGGCAATCAAAATATCAACTAAAACTTTGAACCATAAAGAAAATGTTGAGTATTGCAGGAGTGGTTCATCAGATGCTTTCTGCAGGCCCAACAGTGTAGTTGAGGAAGATTCTTCTGCTGTTCATACTCCGAGTGTAGAGAAAAGCAAGAGTGCTGCAGAGGTCCCATTTGCCCTAATGGAGAAGAAGTCATCCTCTACTGATAGTGATTTGAATGCCAATGGAAGTAGCTTTCTTAATAAAGTTAGTTGACTTCTAAACTGCCTTTGTGATAGTTTTGTTTTATTACTGATGTTATTTTTATTCTTGTTGTATACACTTGTGTGAACAAGGTCTCTCCTTTGAAGGAACATAGCTAGCCCTCCCCTTTTATACATATAATTGTAATAAAATTACTGTTACTTGTTAGAAAAAAAGGATCTTCTGTTTCTATTAGATATAAGTTGTCATCAAACAAATCCAAATTATTATGGTTAAGAGACTTTAGAATTTGAATCTGCATTGATGGGTGGGGCTGAATCTAATAGATAAATCTATCTGAAATTATGGCAGTTACAAGTTCAAGGAAATGAGGTAATTTTTACAAATATAAGTGGTGAAGTTTTGTTCACATTAGAATTGGTTTACAGAAATGATGAAGAGCTGACACTGGCATTTTGATTGAGAAAACGGGTAAAGGAAAGGTCTTGATATCTTGCAAATAGGTCCTTGTATCATGGCTCTACTGAAAACTTTTGAGAGGTTAGGGGTATTTTAGTGTCATTTGAGCTTATTTCAGATTAATGTAATTACATAGCAGTGATAGGGGTGTTTGTGTAATTGCAACCCATCATTATATAGGTCTGTTTTCTTCTCATCTCTCTAATCTCTTAATGTCAAACTTAATTTTTATTTTATTACTTTTAAGTCATAATTTGGTAACAGAGCAGATCAAGGAGGCTAGTTGGATCACTGCAACCATGGCTGCCTGCTAATGTCATCTCTTTTGACTGGTAGTGTCAGCAGGCCTTACAGTTAGGACAGCAGATGAAAATGACCACAGACTCTGTTAGATCTTGATTTTAGAAGAATTTTAGTATGCTTGTTGTGAATTTTTAAAGTTGTAGTATTTTTCTGGAAAATTTCAAAGGAATTTCTGGGAAATGACAAAAATACCAGACTCGTGGATGGATTTTTGGTGTGTTTGGAGTTTTTTCTCTCTACAATCTATAGATACTTGTCTGTATTGGTTAAGGATGGGGAGTTAGGTATTAATTTTTCTATACCAACTCTTGGAGATTGTGAGTTGTGCGAGAACAGTGTTGATTCCTTGAATGATGTTGGAAATAGTGTGGAAGCCTGTTTGTGGTGGTATTCGATCTATTTATTGTTTATGTTAGATTGTTAGGGACTGGGTATTGGCTATCCTGGACTGCATGGACCGGATACCTTTGGAAGATGCCTATGTTGTGAGTTTTGTTCTCTCTCTTAAGGAGGCTTTCTCTATTGATTTATTGTTGATGATGACTACCTTGAAAGAATTGAAAACTGGGAATAACCATATGGAAACTGGTAAGAGTTCCACCACTCAGAGATCATTGTTGGAAGATAGAAGATGTAATGTGTGACTATTGCAAGAAGCCTAAGTGTAGTTGAGATCATTGTTGGAACTTGGAAGCTCCATCCGCACTTGATGACTTGGAGCCATATCGTTTCAGGAGTGGGAGGTTGGTTCTGATGCTCAACCATTATCTCATAATTTCACCCATAGGCATCATGGGATCATTGTTGGAAGCTCCATCCACACTTGATGACTTGGAGCCATGTCGTTTCAAGAGAGTGAAGTTGGTTCTGATGCTCAACCATTATCTCATGATTCCACCCATAGGCATCATGGACCTGGTAATTTTCGCTTTTTGATAAAGCTTCAGGGACTCCTTGTTCAGCCTATAACTATTGGCGTTTCCACCTCTTCAGGCCCTAGTGCTCCTCTTACTACATTCACCAAGCTACCTAATATTTTTGGATGTCATGCCACTGTTTATAGACCATGGGTAATTGATTCCGTTGCCTTATACCGAATGCCTAGTGTGCCTTTCCATTTTTTTTTCTTTTTCCTTTTTTGAAATTAAAATAAATAAAACTCGGTAAAATCAATGCCAATGTACAAGAAAATGTGATGAGAAATGACCTAACATAAAGGAAAAGACGGAAGAAAAATGAAAAAAAAAAGATACAATACATAAATCACTCCAATCCAAATTCTATGGATGACCAAAAATTGATCCCATATGAATCTCTTCATACACCCAAAATTACTGTAAGAATCATGACCCATTCCAAAATTCTTTTCCCAATGATTGAACATAGCACACACAATATGTTAGGGTCTTGAAGCTATTGCTAAAGTGGATGGGAGGCTTCGTGGAGAAAGTGGAGGGAGGTTTCGTGGAGAAAGTAAAATTGAGGTCTTTTCTGAGGATAGAGGCCAAAGAGTTTCTCTTCGAAGAGATACGGATCAAAGGAAGAATGGGTTTGAAAGTAAGAGAACAAAGAGAGCCACGATCCTTTTGGAAGGCTCAGAAATGATTGAGTGGGTGAAAGAGTTTGTCTCTGATGCAGCTGCTAAAGGGAAGCAGAGATATCAGAAAGAAAATTTCTCAGGATTGGGTAGGAGGTATGTGCTAGAGAACAAGAGGAATGCAAAAGGTGCATTTATTTCTTTAACTGAATATTTCTCTAAAGGAAGGAAAGAAATTATTTGTCTTCCTCAAGGGAAGAATGATCAAGGGTGGAGAAGGATTGCTGGGACACTAACAAATTTTCTATATAGAAGGAGAATGGAGAATAAAGAGAATATGAAAGTTGATGAAAGGGGACAACGACCAGAAACCAGAAGCCAGTTTTTGTGTAAAAAAGAGGAAACAAACAAAAAGTTTGTGGCCATGGAAAATAGTAGGAGGGACCTTCATTGGTAGCATTGGGGACAAAAGGAAATTGGGATAGAATGCTAGTGGTTGAAGCTGGAGGGGTGGTGACAGACTGGTGGAAAGTTGCAGAAATGTTGAAGAGCAAGATGGAGCTAAGAAGCACCTTTATTGTGACCCCGTTCGACCCTGCTAAGGCAGTGTTGGACCCTCTTGAAAACCAGGTAAATGTTAGAGCCCTAAGTATCCAAGATGATTTGGGAACCTTCTCGGTTTTTAAATGGTCGTTTTCATCAAATTCAAAAGTGTTCTTAGTGGAAGATAATGTAATTGTTCGAGTGCTTGGGTTGCTATTCCATCTCTGGAATCAAAAAACAGCAAACTCCATTGCTTTGTTGTGTGGAGCTCGCCTTGATGGTGTTTTTTGGGGAGACCTGCGAAGTGCAGCCWTTSTACTWGGTRGTGTAAAACCAGAAGATATACCGAGGAAGGTGAATGTAGCTGTGGAGGGTTTGTTCTTCCCAGTGTGGTTACTGCTGTCCTCCATTGATGCTACCTTGTGGAGAGAAGCAAGGCAGGAGGAAGACAAAGTGGTGGAGGAGCTGCAGCTACGTGGCAGTCTGAAAGTGGCTGTAAAAAAGAAACAAGGAGTTTTCACAAGAATGGAAGCACAACCTTTAGGCAGGCCAAAAGACTCAGATTAGGAAACCATTAGAAGTGTTAGACGTGTTACACAAGGCAATGGTGGGAAAACCAAAGTTTCTTTTGCTCAGGTAGTTGCTTGTGGACGTAAGCAATTTACTCTAGTGGAGAGTAATGGTCCGAGTGCAATACGGGAGGGAGGTGATTCATCGGGTCGAGCAGAGGTATTGGTAACCTCAGGAATATGCACGGGGGTCCAACCAGCAGGCCCATCTCTAAATTGTAATTCTGGACCCATTAGGCCCGAAAAGTTAAGTGGGCTATGCTTAAAAGACCCAAGAGTGAGGGGGGCGTGTGACAACTTAAAGGAGCACGTGACAAGGTTGGCTCCTCAGGTAGATAGTAAAATCCGTATACCATCGTCTTCCTCAAGCCCTTTCTCTCGTTTGAACAGTTCATCGAAGGTCTCTAGCTTGTTACAGTGGAGGCCCTCGAAGAAGGTGCCGCATAAGGAACAGGAACGCCGTAACCCCAGGAGTGTGAAGAGCAGTGAGGTTTTCGACTCTGATTCGGAAAGATTGACAGACAATGAAGAACTTTCTGATTCCGATTCAGATTTGGAAGAAACCATTAGCTTGGGAAGTATCGACCTCCAAAAACAAAGAGATATACTGGAAGAGGGTAGCCTAAACACTGAACTGTTAGTCCTAGAGGAGGAGACGGATTCGCAAGATTCTGGTAATATCAAAATGCAAAGAAGAGTGAGCCTTAGCAGCGGCGTACAAATCTTCCCAAATTGGGTATGCTATACAAAAGAAAGGTGGAGTTGGGAACCCTTAAAGAGGTAAGGCAGAGTGCATCCTGGCCAATAAATGAGTCCATTCCATATGTGCAGCCTAGTCAGGACATCAGGCCAGAGAGACAGGAATCAGACTTGGAGCCTTACCTAASGATTCATGCAGAGGGAAAGAGAAGTGAAGTTTCTATGACTGTAGAGGGTGAGGAAGTATTGGTTGTACCTAGTCCGCTTCCACGGCTGAGTCCGGAAAAGGGGAAGGGCCTAGTCCTTACTCCAAGAATTGATACCCAGCTGCCAGTCCACATGCAACCATCTATGCTAATTCCAAGTAAGCCTGCCCATTTGGTTTTAGATACTAACTTAGGTTCTCTACCTGTAACAGATGTCCTGGAATCCCAACCAACTGGTAGCAGGGAAGTGGCGATTGATAATGATGGAGTCCGATCGGAGAAGGGAGTTGGGTTGTTAGAAAGGAAACAAGAGGAGTTAGAATGGATTTGGGAGCAGATTTGTGCCCTGCTGGAGGAATGTAAACAGAAGGAGGAAATGATAGAGGTGGCTCCAAAAAACCTTGAATTAGAGGGAAAAGAAAGATGGGCATTGAAGGGGATATCGAGTTCAATGGCAGAGGGGAAAGAAAGAAGGGTTCTAAATGAATGAACACTATATTGGAGGGCTAAATTCTTGAAAGGTAATGAAGATAATAAGCTGGAATGTAAGGGGTTTGGGTAGTGCTAGAAAAAGGAGATGGATTAAGGAGCTACTTAGGAGAGAAAGACCTGATGTTGTGATGTTGCTGGAGACAAAATTAGCTGAACTAGATAGAAGGTAGGTTAGGGAGATTTGGAAAATAAGAGGGGTAAGATGGTGCTCAGCTCCGTCGTGGGGAGCCTCGA